AAAGGCTGGTCTGCAATAACACGAGCTGCTATTGATAGAATTATCCGGCTTTTTTTTTTTGATGGTTTCTTAATCCTTTTTCATGTTTTCAATGATCTCTTTAATTTCTTTTTTTTTTTTTTTTTAAGATTTTGTTTATTTATTCACAAGAGACAGAGACAGAGACAGAGAGAAGCAGAGGGAGAAACAGGCTCCCAAGGAGCAGGGAGCCCGATGTGGGACTCGATCCCAGGACCCTGGGATCATGACCTGAGCCGAAGGCAGACGCTTAACCATCTGAGCCACCCAGGCGCCCGTCTCTTTAATTTCTTTAAACATCTTAAATATATTTATGTTGGCTCTACAGCTTTTTCTGCTGACTCTTGGTCTTAAAACCTTGTTTTGTCATGTGTATTTCAACTGTAAACTCATATTTGTTGGAAGGCTACCAGTGGGAACCTTCTGAGGTTTCTGAAGGAGGTACATGCCTTTGGAAAGAATTTGCATTATTTTCTGGAGACAACTTGAAACATTGCCAGGTTTGGTCCATTTTATTTAATTTTTTAACTCATGATAGAAAATTTCAAACAGGGGCACCTGGGTGGCTCAGTTGGTTAAGCGTCTGCCTTCCGCTCAGGGCGTGATCCTAGGGCCCTGGGTTCAAGCACCACATCGGGCTCCTTGCTCAGCGGAGAGCCTGCTTCTCCCTCTCCCTCTGTTCCCCCTGCTTGTGCTCTCTCCCTCTCTGTCAAATTAATTAATTAATTAATTTCAGAAAGAATAGTATAACACCTCATTTTTCTAACCCCCAGCTTTGACAATTGTCCACTCATGGCCAATCTAATTTCATTGATAAACCTCAATCCACATCCCCCTCACATATCATTATGAGTAAATTCCAACATATAATCGTGTCCATAAATATTTTACTACATATCTCTAATAGATAAGTACTTTAAAAGATCAAAACCACAGTACCATTATCACACGTAAAAAAAATGAACAGTAGTTCCTTAATATTCAATATTCAAGCAGTGTTCAATTTCCAATTATATTATGAAAGTCATATTTTTGTCTGTATATTTATTTGAACCATGATCTAAATAAGGTCTTCACATTGCAGTTGGTTGATATGCATATTAACTTCCTTCACTTATAAGTTTTCCCTCCATCTTTTTTTTTTCTCCTTGTAATCCATTCATCGAAAAAACTGGACTATTTGTCCAGTAAAGTTTCCTACTGTCTAGTGTTTGCCGAAGGCAACCCTCTGGTGCATTTGACATAAGTTTTAAAAACTTGATTGGATTCAGGTCTGATTATTTTTTTTCTTTTTGCCATCTCATTTTTTAAAAAAAGATTTTACTTATTTATTTGAGAGAGGGAGAGCATGAGTGGGTGAGGGGCAGAGGGAGAAGCAGGCTCCCCACTGAGCAGGAGCCTGATGCGGGACTCAAGCCCAGGACCGTGGGATCATGACCTGAGCTGAAGGCAGACGCTTAACTGACTGAGCCACCCAGAAGCCCCATGCTATCTCATGTTAAATTAAAATGCTTATCTTCAAAAAAATTTTTTTGACCTTGCAAATGATGTGAAGACAAGCCCATATCCATTGGCACTCAGGCTTTTGACTGAGATTTCTGAGGAGACTTTCCTTGTCCTCACCAAGAGCCAGGCCGAGACAAACTTCCATACTGCCTTCTCTCAGTGCCAGATTTTTTCTCCAGATTTTTCCTCGTTTCCATAAGGTGTGGCCCTTTGTAGGGTCCAACTTTAAAAAGGGGTCTCTGATCTCACTCCTCGCTCCGGAGAGTCTTCGTCCAGTTCTCTGTGTGTGGTCTCCATGCTAGGTGCCTGGGGTGAGTAGATTCCTCGGGGGAGCTGATAGCTTCCACTGGTGATTACCCTGCATTGCTTCTTCTCTCTAGGATTTCCCCCGCCCCACCGTGTTTGTTTTCCTTTTTGCAAACTCGCCCATGCGCTTTAAAGTGTGGAACTGTTTTGTCCTGGAGGATTTCAGTATATTTACTTTATTTCTGGAAACCCTGAACTCCTACGTAAAAACCAAGTGTTAGAACTACCTCTGAACTATCCCCTAGCTACAATTTTGAGCAGAAGGAAGGTTTGAGCAGAGGGGGTGTCTGATGGAGATCTGCTCCTGGAAATGATGTTAAACCTGAGACCCGACTGGTGAGTAAGAGGGGGACCAGAGGAGTGGGGAGGAGGCCGTGGTTTGGAATTGGGGAACAGTGTTCCAACCGAAGAAGCGCTGCCATGAAGTCTTTGTGGCACAGAAGGAAGGAATGAAAAGCTGGAGCGAAGGCAGAGGGCCCAGGAGGAGGCAGAGGGAGAGACCTATTCCATCTGGCCTCACCAGAGAGGCTGGGCTAGAGCCTTGAGATTTCCACCACACCCGAACTCTTCACTGTGATCTCACCACCCAGCCTCTCTTATCGTCACAAAAGTTCCAGGATGTACAAAGGCCTCCCCCTGCCCCCCTTCAACAGCGGAGAGTTAGTCTCACTGCACCAGTCAGGAAATTGAGGCTGGAAAACCTAAACTGTCCATAAGCTTCTGGATAAGCTCAGGTTTATGCCCCGAGAATGGTTGCCCTATAAATTTATTTAGAGCAAGTGGGCTGGTCTGGGTGATCAATACCACACCCTCGGATTTCTTTGCTCAAACGTCCCACCTTCCTTTTCTTGTGTTGTTTGGGAGGCACTTTCCTTGTCAGGTAAATCCAGCCCCAAAGTAGCTAAGGGAGCTTGGGTGGCTTCCCCTTGGGGGGCAGCTGCCTGGGAAGCCAGCCAAGTTGCCTTTTGGTCTTCTGAGGGGAAGCCAGGGTACAGGTTGGGGCGAGGGGCTGAGGAGAGGGAGGGCTCAGCCTGCTTCATGTGCCTGCCAATAGTCTTGTACACCCCTGCCACCAGCCATTTCTTTAGAGTTAAAAATACAAGTTGAACGACTCCATTAAAAACAAAAGACTTGTTGGTTAGCAGACTTGGAAAGAACTCATTCGATGATGCCTGAATAATATTTCTCCCTTTTTAGAGAGTCTGTTTGTTTCCTAGGGCTGCCATAACATCCCACAAACTGGGTGACTTAAAACAACAGAAGTGTCTTCTCACACAGTTCTGGAGGTGAGAAGTCCAACATCTAGACTGTTGGCAGGGTTGGTTCCTTTGGAGGGCTCTGATGGAGAACCTGTCACATGCCTTTCTCCTAGCTTCTGGTGTTGCCAGCCGTCCTGGGCGTCCCCTGGCTCATTAGATGTACCACTCCAATCTCTGCCTCTGTCCTCACGAGGCGTCTCCTTGGGCCTCCGTCCTCACCGGGCCATCTTCTTATAAGGATGGCAGTCACGCTGGATTAAGGGCCCACCCTAATTCGGTGTGACCTCATTTTAGCTTCACTAATTCCATCTGCCATTATTGTCGTTCCAAATAGAGTCACATTCGGAAGTCCCAGGGGTGAGGACTTCAACACATCTTTTTAGGGAATACAATTCAACTCATGACAGGGTGAGAAAAGGTAAGTAAAAGATCTGTAATACCTGTTCATTCCTCTGCAGTCTGGCTAGAGGTCAACTGCTGTTTTTAACTTCCATCGTCCTCTAGGCCTCCATGTCTGAGAATATACCAGCTCAACTCTTCAAAAAGGCAAAAAGAAATCCTCCAAGTTTTCCTCACTAATGACCTCACGCAGCAGCTGAGTCCAAGGGTCAGCTCTTGCTGAGGACCTCACTTAGAGACACTCAGACTGGCTCACCGAGGACTCTTGGCAAGAAGATACGAAATGACAAGGTGGGGAGGAGAAAAATCGGAATCTTTTTGGAATTTATTTTGGAGTATGATGTCAGACAGGGATTTTATTGTTACTCCAATGAGTATCCAGTTATCTCTCTGCTCTTCATTGAGATACAAATGTAGTATGTGGAAGCCTCCTCTTGTCACACACTGAAGCTTTAAGTATATTTGTGTCTTTCCATCCAGAATCATAACGCGCGTCTCTAGTTCTTCAAGTGTCCTCCAGAAAGCGCTGAAGTTCTGTTCATGTACATCCTGCATGTTTATTATTTTGTTTACTTTTTGGTCTTTTGTTTGTTATTGCTCTTGTTGCCGAAAGGAGACTGTCCCCCATTATATCTACTAATTGCTCACAAAAAGAAGATGACTGATTTTCCTCACGTATATTTTGTAACAAGCCACTTTGCCAAAGACTCATAAACCCTAATAATTTTTCAGATGATTCTTTTGTGCTTTCGGTGTAGACATTCATGTCATCTGAAAATAGTGAACCGTTCTCCAAATGTAGTCTGTACATTCCTGCCTCATGGCCTTTGATTTTGCTCTTAATTGTCTGAATTGCCATCATTCACATCTCCTAAAAGCCTTCTCTTCATCAAGACTTAATTTCTCTGTGAGACTTCTTTCAACCTCCCTGGAAAAGTTAAATTCCCTCTCCCCGAACTTCCATAAAACGTTGTACATGCCTTTATTACAACCGTAGCAAAAGGCATTATAATTATCTGCTTATAAAACTGCTTTCCCTCAGGACACTCAAAAAACAAACAAACAAAAAGCCTACATTTTTTCTCTGGGCTAAGAGTCAAGTTGGAAAAGTTCTATTTGGGTGATAGAGGAATGAAGCCCTTATTCACCTAAGTATTCCCTCTTCTGCGGTTTGGGGATTGATGCAGACAAGTGAGGGAGTGAGCCACTAAGACCCAGACGAACAGACAAAGGAGCCCACGAGGCAGAAAGAGCTGGAAGCAGACCTCAGACCTAGGACCGTGGCTTTTGTGCCCAGATGCTGAACTGCAGCAGGGACCTCCTGTCCCCAAGGCTCTCTGCCGGCAGCTCGTGTGGGGACTTGATCAACCTGGAGGAAGGGAAGTGGGCTGTCTGGTCTGTGTCCTGCGCCCTTCCCAGACCTCGGTCCCTGCTCTGCAGCCCGGACCCAGCCAGGGTTCACTGACGGCTCCTTGAGAAGAATCGTGCCACCTAGAGGCCCGACGGCGGAAGTCCTCCTCCTACAAACCGGTCCAGGGCTTGAATTCCAGTCCCCTCAGCCGACGTGGGGACTCCTCCCAGGAGGTGCTCGCGTCCGTGGTGGAATCTTCCGCGAGGGGCTGCCTGACCCGAGAGCTACGGGGGCACGCTTGCTGAGGTAGGAGCCGGGGAGGGGGCTGCCTTCTCTGCTTCCCACGCCAACTCCCAACCCAGGCCGGAACAGGGCGGAGGGAAGAAAGGCTCAGCCTGCAGGGACTCCGCCAGCTCGCCGCTCTCTGATCCTCCCTCCCACCGCGAAGGCCTCGGCGAGGCCGGGATTGCCAGGCGCGGGGGGGGGGGGAACAAGGCAGCTTTATTTTGCATAATGCCTTCGGACAAACGGCCCCACAACGGGGCGGAGGAGGCGGCTGTCAGGCCAGGAATGCACACACCTGTACCTGGGAAGGTTCCTTTGAATTGCCGCTGCTCCGCGGCCTCCCGGGGGCCTGGCCGCTGGCGGTGGGTGGGAGCTTGGCAGCCTGTGCCCTGGGGAGGAGCACTCCACCCAGACCTCCAAGTCGGGCGGCCACCAGGGGAGACCTGATGGCACCCAACCGATTTCTAAAGTTCCCCCCAAAGCGCCTGCCTTCCTCGAGTCCCCCGGACTCCCCCCCCCTGCCGTTCCCACCCCTCCCCCACCCCAGACCCAGTGGGAACAGAGCCTTCCAGAAAAAGAACTAGTTGGCTGACAGACTTCCTCAGGGGCTTTCAGGCGAAGAATGGACCACAGAGAGCACACAGGAGGCCCCTTTATCCTGTCAGCCGGAGCCTTGCTCTTCGTTTTCCTTGCTTCCTAGTTCATTATCTGACGGATGAGGAAACCGAAGCCCAGAGCAGTTAAATGCCCTTCCTACTTCTCCAGCTGACGGGTCGGGTCGCAGAGCCGCCCTAGTACTTGTTTACTTTTCATGACTCGTTCTGTCAGAATTATTATTATTTTATTTGAGAGAGAGAGAGAATGCACAAGCAGGGGGAGGGGCAGAGGGAGAGGGAGAAGCAGACTCCCTGCTGAGCAGGGAGCCCGATGCGGGGCTCGATCCCAGGACCCTGGGATCATGACCTGAGCTGAAGGCAGACGCTCAACCAACTGAACCACCCAGGCGCGCCTCTGTCAGAATTATTGTATAACAGAGCCATGCTTGACCTTTTCAGATTAGTACCGCTCACGAATCAGTATTTTGGAAACTTCACATGAAAGGCTCTCTAATGGGATCAGAGGGAAGTGGGTGATCCGCTCTGACTGCACGGGGCCTAGTGCTCAAGATGGCAGCCCCAGCCCCAACTGCACATCTTCCCTGCCTCATGCCCGGACCAGCTGCTGCTCGGGAGAGGGAGAGGGAGAGGGTGAGGGCTCGCCACCGCAGTGGACAGGCCAGCCTTCAGCCAGGAGGCAGCGAAATAGGAGTGAGATGTAGTGTAGAGACTAGAGTTCTACCTGTTGCTTTCCTTTAGTTCTACATAGAAGACCCATCTGAAAAGTTTCTCCTTATCCCTGTGAAGTGAGGGCAAAAGGAGTTTTCTGGTTTTTCCTCCTGAGTCAGGGCAAGCTGGCACCCGGGGACCGAGAGTTTTGGGCAGAGCCCAGCACAGTTCAAGAAAACCCCAGGGAGGGGGGAAAACGAGGGAGGTCTGCAGGCCCCTTTGGCCCTGGGCCATGTGTCCAGGAAGCTGGGAGGGTGTGTCTCACGGCTGTGGGGTCTTTTTGCAGCTAGAACAGAAGGAAATTCTTGAACAAGGGCTGGTGCCGAAGGAGAGAGTAGATGAGGAGGATCAGCAAAGAGAGATGGAAAGAGGGAAAGAGGAGACAGGGTGCCCATGGACTCTCACCAGACCTCTCATTAAAGGAGCATTTCTTTGAGCCATAGAACCCTGTGCAAGGTGTGGTGAGCTGGTTGGTAACAATGGAGTTGATCATGACGGGTGCCAGGAGAGGTCCCCCAGCAGCAGTGGGGGGTGGGTACAGACCTCCCTCTAGGGGTATAGAAGAGCCTGGGCTACAGTTCCAGCCCTCAGGCCAGCACAGCTGGGCCTGTGTCTTCTAGCTGGGATAGGATTTGATGGATGAGAGATTTCAGCTGGAAAATGATCCTAGATTTTTCTCATCTCTGAAAGGCTTCTGAATGAACAGCAAAATGACAAACCACAAGAGCTCCAAGGATGCAAGGAAGTCAGCAAAATGATCACTTTGGTTCCAGAACCAGCAACCTTTCCCTATGTCTTCTGGGCCCAGTTGGGTATTTGGTCAGGGGACAGCGCCCAGGCTTTATTGCTCTCATGAGGAACAGAGGGCTCACAGAGGGCCAGGGCTTGCAATCTGAAAATTGTGTCCAAAGCATGTCATATATTTGAGTACAGTGGCAGGCTGTGTTTTCTAAAAATGACCACAACAGTGTTTTCAGTCCCACCCTTCTTCCAGAACTTGTCTCTCTCCAATCAAGAGATGCTATTTCTCCTCCCCTTGAACAAGGGCAGGCCTTGGGACTGCCTCACCTGATAAGCCGAAGTGATGATCTCTGATTTCCAAGGCTTGCTCATTAGAGGTGACACAGATGCCATTTGACTTCCTTTCTTAGGACTTGGGAGCCTGGAGCTGATATTTAAGAAGCTCAGATATCCTGAAACCACCACCTGGAAAGACTATCTATACCTGTCCCTATACCTGTATCCATCTATATCTATATCGAGAGAGATGCTCATGGAGCCCCCCACATGTTCCAGTCCCCAGATGTTTGAATCTTCCCTGCCCAGGTGCCAGGCATGGGAGTGAGCGACCTTCAGATCACTCCGGCTCCCACCCCTCGGCTACTCCAGCTGCTGCCAGATGGAGCAGAGATGAGCTGTCCCTGCCAAGCCCCCAGAATGTTATTTTAAGTCACCAAGTTTTGGCGTGGCTTGTTGTACAGTATCGGATAACTGAAACACACTTGTTTCTTCACCTCATTTAAGGCTGTCAGGCACCGTAAGAGGTGTGTATCACCATCCCTAATTTATAGGCAAGAAAACCAAGGCTCAGAATAGATTAGTCACAAGATGTTATGGACTGACTTGTGTCCTCCCCAAATTCATATGTTGAAGCTCTAACCCCCAGTGTGATGGTATTTGGAGATGGGGCTTGAGGGAGATAATTAAGGTTAAATGAGGTCATAAGAGTGGGGCTGCAATCTCTTAAGACTGGTGTCCTTTTAGGAAGAGGAAGAGACACCAGTAGAACTCTTGTCCCCCTCCCCTATTTGCACACAGAGAAGAGGCCATGTGAGGACACAGTGAGGAAGAGAAGTGTCACCCCAAACCAATCCTAGTGGCACCTTGATCTTGGACTTTTGGACTTCTGATCTCCAGAACTGTGAGAAAATAAGTTTCTGTTGTTCACGCCACTCAAGTCTGTGGTATTTTGTTATGGCAGCTGACTAAGCACAAGAAAGTGCCATGGGCATGATTCATATTGCAATTCTCTGACTCCAGCATCCATAGCACGCTTGCCCGCACTGCCTAGCTGTTGAAACAAGACTCTGTTCGTGAGTAATAGTGCTCCTTGGTCTAGACTCCCAAGTCAGGGTCTTGTTCCAAGAGTCAGGCAGAACCAGAGCAGGGTAACTTTTAATTCAGGATTTGCCTGATTTGCTGGTAGAGCTCAAATATTGGACGAGGCCTGGGGTCAAGGGCCAGAACCTCCAGCACGCAATTTCCAGAAGCCAAGGGAGGCACTCAATTCTCGCCTTGGCTGGGACAGGCTTGAGGTAGCCCCTAAATGATTTTTGGGACTCGTACTAGATCAGGAAATGGGGAGATAACCAGGATTTTTTCTTAAACTTCTCTCTTTTTCAAAGTATTTGTTGAATGTCAGTGATTTGCCAGGTGCTATTCTAGGCATTGGGAATAGAGTAGCAAGCAAGCCAGACAACGTCGCTGATGGCATGGAACTTACATATATATATATTTAAAGATTTGATTTATTTATTTGACAGAGAGAGACACAGCGAGAGAGGGAACACAAGCAGGGGGAGTGGGAGAGGGAGAAGCAGGCTTCCCGCCAAGGAAGGAGCCCGATGCGGGGCTCGATCCCAGGACCCTGGGACCATGACCTGAGCCGAAGGCAGACGCTTAACGACTGAGCCACCCGGGCGCCCCTGGAACTTATATTCTAATAAATGTAGTAAACAGAGAAGTAAATGAATAAATACAAAAACAAACAAATGAGCTTCTAATTGTGATAAATGCTGTGAAAGAAAGAAATAGCCGACCTGAGAGAGAATGTCTTGGCGGGTGGGGGGATCTGAGGGGTGAGATTTGAGCTGGAATGTAAAGAATGAGAAGCAGCTACCATGTAAAGAGTGGCAGGTGAGTGTTCCAGACAGAGGGAAGTGCAGGTGCAAAAGCCCCAAGGTGGGACATAGCTAGGCCCATTGGAGGAACAGAGGGAGAGGGAGTTGCTAAGATGATAGTGATGATGTGAGGCATGGTATGAAGGAAAGTTGATGGGGGAGGCTAGACTTTACAGGCCTTAGAGGCCACAGCAAGAAGTTTGATTTTTAATACACTAGGGGTAGAATTTTGTCACCGTGGTGCTGAACAAATGCACAGACACTGTTGTTGATGGAAAGCATGCTCACCCTCTCTGCGAGGGTCTGGACAGCGCCTGGTGATGAGCCTTTTGTCTGTTTGCCGGTCCAGCCAGGATCCCCTCTTCCCCTGCTGGGGACACGGGGAAGAAATGACCACTAACTTCCTTCCAAAATTGCTTCTCAGGGCACAGGGACATCAGAGCCCTCAGTGGCCACTGCTGGGAGTAGGGACTGACAGCCCAGGAGGAGAGTAAAGGGAACCACAGTGCTGGTACTCATGTCCTAGTGCTGTAATACAACAAGCTTGGTGGCTTATAACAACACAAATGTATTATCTTACAGTTCTGGATGTCAGAAGTCAGACATGGGTCTGGTTGGGTAAGATCAAGGTGTTGGCAGGGCTGACCTCCCTTCTGGAGGCTCCATAGGAGGATTTATTTCCTTGACTTTTCCAACTTATGGGGGCTGCCTACATTCCTTGGCCCATGCCCCCCCGCCCCCGCATCTTCAACCAGCAATGGCAGGATGAGTCCTTCTCTATTTCTTCTTATGTCCT